CGGAAAAAAAAGCAGATACGGGGATGCACACTGCAAGAAGACCAACGCGCATCTGATGCAACGCCCATGCTGGGGAGCGGCTGATTCATGCACAGCCTTCATCCGAGCTGGCGAACACTCAAGGGAAAGCGAAGAAGTAAACAAACACCAGGTACTTCTGTGCCGCAATAAGCGTTTTCGCAAGAGGAACGCAGAAGGGCCAAACCGCACGCTCTGAGCACAGACAACGTCGTTGCGCGGTCCGGGTCTTCTCTGTCTTTTCTTCCTCTGCTCCTTCGACAATTTCGACCGTGCACTGGCGGCAATAGCATTGCCCAACCGAAATCGAAGTGCGCGAACCCAAAACACTCACCAACCCCAGCAACGCGTAGGCTCTGACCAATAAACCGTACCTCCCACAGCCTACCGGATGCCTTTATCCCTATAGGGAATTTCAAATGCGCATCGCCGGACGGGAGGATCCGAATGTATTCGCACAGAATAAAGAATGGCACTAAAGAAGAAAGGACCCAGCGGCCGGATAGTCCAAACCACGCAGAGCGGCCGCATCGCCTCCCTTGCCTTATCTTCCTTCTTTCCTTCTCAAATATCAAACGCACACTCCCAGCAGCAGTATTAATCATCTACACTCGAGCAAGTCAAACACAAAAGGGCTACACAGCTAGCTAATGAGATAGATAGCTGACTAGCTGGCTAGCCGTCTAACTGTTCAGTGTAGCTAGCTCTCCTGCAATTTCTCCTCCTGGCTAACCAGTGTGCTACGTGCGAAGCTATCCATATACGTTGGTGGCTAGCTGGAGAGTAGCGGCTTGGATAGCAGCTAGGCTTTCTCAAGCACGGTGACCTTTCACGTCTCCACCGTTTTTCTGGGTGAATGAGCACATGTCAACCTTTGCGTCGGGTCTGCTCACAACACATTCTTCCGGGCCTGAGCCTTTCGATGGTTTGCCTAATAAGCTGGCTGCGCAGCTGACGCATTATTCAGCTCCTTTGACGTAAATCTGATGCAATGAAAACGTACTTGTTCATATAGTGCATTGCAAACACCTTTCTTGTTCATTTAATCCACGATACACCCTTTCCTTGTTCATTGGATGCACTTTCATCTCATTCGTAGTCAATTTAATTGTCGTTGCTCATTCAATGCATTGTATTGTGCGTCATCACGCAGTATCTTGTTGTTCACGGCACTCTGCCGAGCTAAGGTCTACATGCGAAGCTGCAATAGATCTAAAACGTCTGGGTTAATAGTTAAACAAGATGTCCCATCTGTTTATTATCCCCGGCTATAGTCTAAAGATGTCCAAGGCACTGAGGCACGAGGACCTGGGGCTGATTATGATGCAGAGGAAAGCCAGCGAGCACATAAGGCATTATTTCATGAGTTGCAACAGCACCGCTCGCTGCGAATGCTGCTACAAGCGGTGCTGTTCGTAGATACAGACAACCTTAACGCATTCCTGTGGCCTTCAGTAGCCAACCTGCGTGCAGGTAGTGCATGGAGATCTAACAAGCGCTAACGTGGCTCACAAAGGCCACCATACTACAGCTGACCCTTCGTGCGTTGAGTGGTGTGTAGGAAGAGTCATATGTATCTCTACTTGCCCGCTGGCTAGCTACGGAGGGCCAACAAAGTGCTCAACAATTGTCTACAGTGTCCGTCCATGCAGCGAAGGGGAAATTTGGTTGTTCATGCATGCATTCAGGAGTTGGCATGCAGTACTAGAGACAGCCGGGCAGGCTGCAACTGATGACACACTCTGCTGCGTCTCTGCGCACCCGTGCGGCTGACTATGATGTGGAGATGAGACAATACCCTGGGTAGCTGTGCTCAGGATGCAGGAGATCGTTATCAAAAGTCAATTATATCTGTTGTTACTTATAACATCGAAAAATGCTACTGACGATAGATATAACAGCAGAAACAGAACCAAAATGTCCGACTCTACTACAGCTTGTGGCCGTCGTCCCGTTAAGATGAGGACCCTCGTTACTTCCTGGAACGCCGTCTAGCGCGTGTTTTCGCTATTTGCCCTGTGTAAAGACATGAATGATGTGTATTATTCTATTTTGTTGCATACTTGTTTATTCTCGTTGTTTCATTTCTTCTTCTTTGCATTACTATAACCGATACACTGCACGCCCGCCAGGTTGCTCGGGTGGGCCGCCTCTTCCGCCTGAGCTCCACGGGGCGCCCTGTATGTATTTCCTTTGCAGTCTGCCTTCGAACGTTTGAGGCCACATAGAATAATTGACAAATTTCCGTAGTAATATAACGCAGTAAATCGTTTAAAAACCAACAAATTGCGAAATTTCCGCACCTGGGGGTGCTACGGCTGTTGCGGCTGCGACCACGGCGAGCCCCACAGCACAGGGGGCCGGTGTTTCGAACCCCCAGGCGTCGCTAGACCACCGGATGGGACGCGCTGTCGTTCTGCCCCTTCAACCCAGGTCATCCCATTTCCTTTTCCGCCCTAAGTTTGATATCTAGGGTCCAGTAAATAATTCATTGGGAACAATGCATCTACGCCTTTTGGGGGCCGTTGTCTCGCTGGGTGCGGGAGTGGGCCACTCGCTGCCAGGTGAGGGAGGAGGCCTCCTCGCTCTAATGAGATGCCTTGCGAAATAAAACGAAATGATGTCTAACTCGTTTTTGCGTTTGTAGCTTGTGACAAAATGGACGTATTCTACCACTAGGCCGATCAGAAAAGCAGTGTCTACACGGGCTAAGGGGCAGATCAGACACGAAACCAGCGGGTGCAGTGGTTGGATGAGGCCGGTGGCTGCTTCGTACATCTCTAGATTTTCCCTCACGTAGTGTTAGTCGTTTAATGTCATGTTCCTGCTGCTTCTTGTGTCCGCATTTGCGTTTTTTGCATCAGGCGTGTACGGCGACGCGCCCGCTTTGCATGCACCCCCTCCCCTAATTTCATCCCTTTTCTCCCCCGCTGCTGCCTCATGGCGTCAAACGTCTCCCTCTAAGGAATATGATGCTCCGGAGGCGGCCTCTTTCTGGGATTTCGCACTGCAACAGCTGCCGCATCTAACTGGTGCGTCCGCTGCTCCTGCTCAGAGCAGCGCGCGCGCTCTGCAGGACACCAGCAGCGCCAACCCGGAGCAGCCCCTGAAACAACTTGCCAACAAAAGAACACCAGAGTTCCACCGCAGCCTCTACGAGGCTCCGGCGTTCGAAATCGACGCGGTAGAGTTGACTTTCAAGTTGGACGAAGACGAGACAGAGGTCAGCAGCAGCAGCATTCCTACCGTCCTGCGCTTAGCATGCATGATGCCCCAGTAGCTACTGTGCCGTTATGTTTCGGTGACCTCCGCATAATGTTTGCTCATTTCACATGGGGTGATTCATTCCCTCTCAGATCTCAGACCCAGCGTGTTGAGCTCCAGCGAAATTGTTGAATCTTTGCTGCTTCGGTGGCTGGCTGTTTGCACAGGTTATTTCGAGGCTGAGGGTACGCCGAAGGGAAGGCACAGAGCCTCAGGATTTGATTCTTGACGGAGAGGAGCTACAGCTGAACTCGATTGCCCTCAATGACGTCCGTCTGGTTGAGGATAATGAAACCGGCTACTCCTTTGTCAACGGAGGGTCTCTCCGGTTGCCTATGAACATTTTGCCCCAGCAAGAAGGGAGAAGGTTCTTCTTAGAAATAAGCGTGACGATAAGTCCGAAGAAAAACCTTCAGCTTTCCGGTTTATACTGGTCCAACGGAACTCTAGTGACACAATGCGAGGCCGAGGGTTACCGCCGCATTACTTATGGTTTAGATCGTCCCGATGCATTGAGTCGTTACCTAGTAAGCCAATAGATGCAAATGACCCTTATATCCTCCTAGTGTATTGACGTACACATCGCCGCGGACTTGTTTGTAGGGATGGGAACGGGTTTCAACGCGTTTTGTTCATGATGTTAATATGTTGAAAATGTTCTCGTCGCCAAGGCCAGGGTTGTACTGCCGTGTGTATCTGCAGGTTCGCCTGGAGGCAGACCAGAAGAAGTACCCAGTGTTGCTCAGCAACGGAAACAAACTCGCCGAAGGTCCTGTAAGAGATAATCCTGATCGTCATTTCGCTATTTTCGAGGATCCTTTCCCCAAGCCGACTTACCTCTTCGCGATTGTCGCCGGGCAGTTCGGCAGCACTGAGGGCGAATTCCAGACAGCGGTGCGTTTGTGTTTCTACTGTCGTCACGTTTTTATTTCTGTTGCATTACTCTCATCTCTTGCATCCTTTCTGCGTTTTTGATGTAAATTCGCTCCACTGACTTCGTTCCTTCCATCCAGACACCCGNTCTTGCATCCTTTCTGCGTTTTTGATGTAAATTCGCTCCACTGACTTCGTTCCTTCCATCCAGACACCCGCGTATCTTACTTACTGCGTGGCTAGCGGACTTCAGCCTTTGCTGCTGCGAATGCTGTTTCTGTGTGCAGAGCGGCCGGAAAGTGAGCCTGCAGCTGTACAGCCCTCCCGAAGATGCAGGCTATTTGGAGTTCGCGAAGGTGTTTTTGCGGCTGAGTATGCAATGGGACGAGGAGGCCTTCGGACGCGAATACGACCTCGACACCCTGAACGTTGTTTGCGTCAACGACTTCAACAGCGGCGCCATGGAGAACAAGGGTCTCCTCATCTTCAACTGCCATTCCCTGTTGGCGCACCCCGATATCAGTACAGGTTAGCCACACAGCCCTCGCTCAGCAGCAGCTGCTGTTGGGCTTGCCGCTGGTGGATGATCGCATAGGCGCGGGTTCATGTGTTGCTGGGATAGCGATAGTTCGGATGCATTGCAGGTTTTGCTGTTTTTTCAGACATCGAGTTCTCTCAAGTGATTTCAACGGT